TTCCCCCCCCCCCCCCCCCATATTATTATGGTTTTGAATAGGACATAACATCCTTATAGACTATGATGTCTTCTGTCTATCCCACTCATAACAGGATATGCTTTCCTCTCCTCTTTGGGTATTATTTTCCTTCAATTATTTTTTTGGTCTTCCTTAGTATAAATTAGTATAAACTTAGGGGTGCTTGATGTTTGGACTATTATACTCATTATTAGTATCCCTTTTTTTGTCAAGCAAACTTAGACCAAGTGAAGTTAGTGGACCCCACGAGCACATAAACAAGTGTTATATAGCATTATTTTATGTAGAATTCATCTGTAGTCTGCATTAAAAATGTCTATTTGACCATTCTCTCACGTCGTTCGTAGCTGAATTATTATCATTAAATTTGTTTTTTGTTTTTGGTTTGTAGTTTTCATCCTAATTTCGTTTTATTGATTTTGACAGATAATGTGAATTGTGAAGTAGGATTCCAACATCTCTCTTGCACCTTACAAGTGAAGATAAGAAGCGTGTCCGTTGTGTTTCCAGAATCCTTTAAGATTGCAAATGGAATATCCCAAAGTTTCATCTGATGATAATTTGAATGTACATTTAATTGCTGTATGTCTTTATCATCCTCTACTGCAATGAATAAATTTTTGCATACTATGATAAGTTTGTGTTGAACTTGAGTTCTATCCTAAAATGTGTAGTAGTTCAATTTTAGTATAAACTCCTCAAACCAAGTATTATGTCATCTTGTCCCTCCTCAAGCGATCATCTATGAATCCAATTTCCTGAAATCAAGAAAGATTGCATGCTCAATCAAGACCCAATTTTTCCATTATGTCAACAACTACCATCTTAGGTGGACACAACCATCTTAAGAGTCAACTACTTAACTTTTAACATCGTCATCCAACCTGAATTTAACCAGATTATTTTCTTCAGATTTTCATATTCTTCAATTCTGTTATCGACTCTTATGTTCATTTATTAACAAGAGTTTACATGTTACATGCTCAGATCCATCATATCAGACATTATGATAGGCATTGGGCTGAGGTCCAAATGACTTTAATATATAAACACTCTATTTTCATCGATGTATTTTATTTAGGGCAACTTACAAAAATACACCTAAAATTAAGAAATTTTTGAAAAATCATATAAAAAGTGTAGTAGAAATAAAAAAATTTGTCATTCAAAAAAAATGATAGAGATTCAATAAAGTAATAAAAAGAAAATGACAATTATAAAAGTGATAGAAATTCAAAAAAAGCATAAAAAATAAAAAGTGACATAAAATTAAAAAAAATGACAACCACTCAANTTTAGGGATGAGGGAAGTGCTGGAACTTTCCGGCGCTTGGAAGCCACGTTGAAATAAATCTGCGCTACAAAATAAAAGGACAAGCTACCTAAATATAAGAAACGAAAAGCCTAAAAACATAAACTCACCTATAATAGTTTGAAAACCAACGTTACAAAAATTAGAGTTGAAATGATGTGGCAATATCTCAAAATAGTTATAAAACTCGGCTTTAGCTAAAACTTTGTACTTTGTGCCACATCATTCCCGCAATCTCTCAAAATTAGGAAACATAGTTATAAAACTCGGACCGGCCAGGTCGGAAAACCGGCGGCCTCTGGACCCTTGATTGGGTCGGGCAGATTAATTGACAGAAATGTACTTGATTCGGTCAAAACAGATTAATTTACCTAGTTCGGTTGACCGGTTTGATTGTGTTTTGAAATTTTCTTACAGAATTTTTGGATCAAAGGGATAGAACCTTGGACCTCAAAGAAAATAACGGGTTCCTCATCAGTTGAACATAAAGAACTTTAGAATTACTTGTGTGCATTAACTTATATCTATCTAATGAATCATTTATAGTTTTTATAAAAATATTCTTTTAAAAGACTTTGGTCCAACCTTTTACATTATTTTATAGACCTAAATAATCAGTGAAAAATAAATTAGAAATTTTATTTTTTCCCCTAAAAAAAATTTAGAATTTATATTTTTTTGTAGGTTTTTATGCAATGACCCGTCGGTTGAATCATCGGGTCACCGGTTGAACCACTAACCCATTAACCCGCTGCATTGTTCGGGTCGAGTCTGATAACTATGCTTAGAATAGTATAGATCCACATGTGATTATTCAGCAAATTAAGCTCATGTATATCATCTATTTTATCAAACATTGTTTGTTATACTAAACAATATCCATCACATATTCACTCAATAAAATATTCTACACATTTGCCCCCAGGGCACATCTCCAAGTGGTAAAACAGGAAGGTGGAATAACTCCAGCTTTGTTTCAGACTGCCGCGTCAAGGGTTCGAATCCTGAAATATGGATTTGGCTCTTGAGTAAGTGCAAGTGTACAAGTAGTCTTCCACCCTATACCCTTAGAGGCATAACCTGCGATTTACCTCCTTCACTAAGGCCCAGGGCAGGGCAGGTGGGGGCAGCTAAGGATGCGGTTAATCCTTTTTTAATAAAATATTTTACACACAAATCTATAAAATTACTTTAATTTTTAACCACACATTCTCCAAAAAATGCTATGCAAAAGTCTATTTCTTATCCCAAAATGGGAGACAAACAAGCACTAAGTTGTAACTCCAAGACACTCTTTATGTTTTTAAAAAGCATATTTTGTAATTTAGAGAGCATCTTTAAATTTAAACAGTAAAAAAATTTAAATATTCCAACGGTCTATTCGTCTTAATACTTAATTTTACTAATCCCAAATATTTTTTTTCCTATATCTTAGGTTCACCACCTTCCCTCCAAATTATCATATTATTTTCTTTCATTTTCTTTGTATATACTATTTAATTGGGTCAATATATAGAGCATTAAAAATTAAGGGTTGGCATTTTTTTTGGGAAATCGGCGAAACTAGACTGAACCAAATAGAACCAACCAGTTCGATTTTGATTCCTTTACTAAATGAGTCAATTTTGGGATCACGCATCGAGAACCGGTTGGTTATGCCCTGAAAACCATTAGTAAATTTGATCTCCCAAATTTGTCTCTTTTGCTTACACCAAGATACACTAGATTCTTTGAACTAGAGCCCAAAATTATTTCACATTAAAATTTCATTTTACACATGCTTCGTTTCCTTTAATGGGCAATTAAAATTCAATTCTAAATAATTTTATAAATACTTTATAAATTCTTAACTTTAATGCAGCCCAATAGAAAAAAAAAAAAAAATTAGTTCAATATTTCATAAGAATTCAAAATTTTCATTGATTCCAAAGTGACCCCCCGTCAAAAATCAAGAAACTTGAGGTTTACTAAAAATAATCGGGTTATTATTATTTAAATTTTCTTAAAATACAAAGGGATAGAACCTTGGACCTCAAAGAAAATAACGGGTTCCTCATCAGTTGAACATAAAGAACTTTAGAATTACTTGTGTGCATTAACTTATATCTATCTAATGAATCATTTATAGTTTTTATAAAAATATTCTTTTAAAAGACTTTGGTCCAACCTTTTACATTATTTTATAAACCTAAATAATCAGTGAAAAATAAATTAAAAATTTTATTTTTTCCCCTAAAAAAAATTTAGACTTTATATTTTTTTTGTAGGTTTTTATGCAATGACCCGCTGGTTGAATCATCGAGTCACTGGTTGAACCACTAACCCATTAACCCGCTGCATTGTCCGAGTCGAGTCTAATAACTATGCTTAGAATAGTATAGATCCACATGTGATTATTCAGCAAATTAAGCCCATGTATATCATCTATTTTGTCAAATATTGTTTGTTATACTAAACAATATCTATCATATATTCACTCAATAAAATATTATATACATTTGCCCCCAGGGCACATCTCCAAGTGGTAAAAGGGGAAGGTGGAAGATCTCCAACTTTGTTTGAGGCTGACGCGTCAAGAGTTCGAATCCTGAAATATGGATTTGACTCTTGGGTAAGTGCAAGTATACAAATAGCCTTTCACCCTATACCCTTGGAGGCATAACCTACGATTTACCTCCTTCACCAATGCCCAGGGCAGGGCAGGGCAGGTGGGGGCTGCTAAGGATGCGGTTAATCGTTTTTTAATAAAATATTCTACACACAAACCAATAAAATTACTTTACTTTTCAAACACACATTCTCCAAAAAATGCTATGCAAAAGTCTATTTCTTATCCCAAAATGAGAGACAAACAAGCACTAAGTTGTAACTCCAAGACACTCTTTATGTTTTTAAAAAGCATATTTTGTAATTTAGAAAATATCTTTAAATTTAAAGAGTAAAAAAATTTAAATATTCCAACTGTCTATTCATCTTAATACTTAATTTTACTAATCCCAAATATTTTTTTTTCCTATATCTTAGGTTCACCACCTTCCCTCCAAATTATCATATTATTTTCCTTCATTTTCTTTGTATATACTATTTAATTGGGTCAATATATAGAGCATTAAAAATTAAGGGTTGGCATTTTTTTTGGGGAATCGGCGGAACTAGACTGAACCAAATAGAACCGGCCAGTTCGATTTCGATTCCTTTACTAAATGAGTCAATTTTGGGACCATGCATCGAGAACCGGTTGGTTATGCCCTGAAAACCATTAGTAAATTTGATCTCCCAAATTTGTCTTTTTTGCTTACACCAAGATACACTAGATTCTTTGAACTAGAACCCAAAATTATTTCACATTAAAATTTCATTTTACATATGCTTCTTCTTTTTTCCTTTAATGGGCAATTAAAATTCAATTCTAAATAATTTTATAAATACTTTATAAATTCTTAACTTTAATGCAGCCCAATAGAAAGAAAAAAAAAAATTAGTTCAATATTTCATAAGAATTCAAATTTTTCATTGATTCCAAAGTGACCAACCGTCAAAAATCAAGATACTTGAGGATTACTAAAAATAATCGGGTTATTATTATTTAGATTTTCTTAAAATTTATTTTTCAATCGAGATTTTACCTTTTATGTTGTTTTTAATAGTTTATCATTTTTTTTTTTTCGCTTTTATAAGTTGATCTTAAACTTTGAAGTGAATTTTTATTTGTTGTCTTATTCAATTGATTTTTTGTGTTGTTAGATTAAAACAATGACAATTGACTTCATATTCCATTTTTATCCATTTTTAATCGACAAGTAGCTTCATACTTCATTTTTATATTTTTTCAATATAAAAAATCGAACCAGACATAATTGGAACCGGTTGGTTCAGTTTCAATTCGTTTCTATCATTAGACATGGAACCAATGGTTTCATTTCTAAAATTCTCATCAGTACCCATCAGAATCGGACCGAATCAGACTACACCTGCTTCTATTGAAAATTGGAATATATGCACAATGTTAGAAACTACGTCCTAAAGGCTAGACTTATTCGATACTTTTTCGAAAGCTATAAATTGTGAATATAATTGGATGTTTTATTTTAAAAGACTATACTCGTCTACTTCAGAAATCGGAAATGGGTGAATAGCTTGTCCTTCGAGAGAATACGTAGGAACATTCAATGATTGACGATTAACCTTTGAACTACATGCTATCTGAAGTTCAGAATGAAAACTTGTATCGATGGAGGTTTGACATTTTAAAGTTCAATTTTTATTTTTAACTAAAAAAAGAAATTTTTACTCGCCAATATACTTGGGCTGTCGTCTCTCAGCAAATGCGGCAAGGCCTTCTAGGCGATCTTTTGTGTTCAACAGCTGTTCATAGCAATCCTCCTCCAAAGCCAAAGCCGACGCCATATCTGCCTCAAATCCCTCGTCAATAGCTCGTTTTGCCATCATAATTGCTAATGGTCCCTGCAATATGAAGTCTGCCGGTTTACGTGCAGGATGTCGGCCTTAAAACAAGTAAGTTTTCCAAACAATCAAAGTGCAATTTATCTTCTCTCCCTCCGACGTATTACTTATTATCTTATACATAATAAACTTCTTGGTTCAAGGAGGACCCAACAATTAAGAAGCATATGAGTTTACAGTTCACAATAGCAAGATGACTATTCCAACTAATCACATATACATAATAAACTTCTTGGTTCAAGGAGGACCCAACAATTAAGAAGCATATGAGTTTACAGTTCACAATAGCAAGATGACCATTCCAACTAATCACATATGCACGAATCTTGAGCAATAGCTTATACTGAACAATATAGACAGTACATTGAAATAAATATCACAGCTCAATGATCCAAATAACCATGCAATGACTCAAGAAACAAAAGATTGTAGTTCACACTGCTATCAAAGCTAAATTCCAAGCTATAGCATCAGCAATGACTGAACTTAATTAATCTACTCAGCGGTACGTCCTCCATCACTCCTCCCACCATTTCTTGCAACAATGTAGGCATACTTATCCACCAATTCAGTATTTCACCCATATATGAACACTGCAATTGATTTTCATTTTGTCCATCTCAAGTAACAAAACATCAACTTTACATTGCTCATGTTCACACAACTGATCTCACAAGATCTTCTTCAATGATGTTTAAGATTGGAATCCTTGATGGAAGCTCAATTTTTTTGGGGCATGACAGAACATAATTTTAGCGCCTAACATTAGAGTATATAATATCTGTAACTATTTGTTACTGTCAACATATCAATGCTACCCAACATGCAGTAAGAATAATCAAACAGATCGTACCTATGCATATTGTGGATCTCAACATGCATGAAACTCTTTACTAGGACTCTTGCCCTCAACCAGTACTTTGTGCAAGGACAAAAAATCCAAAATCGAATATCTTGACAATTCTAGACTCGAAAGCTATGTTTGTTGGACGAGTATGAATTTGGGGTGCAGATACGTGTCCAAATGTCACATTTATCAAACCTTTAAATCAAGACTACACGGACATAACAAAAAGCTAATTTTTTTCACCTTTTACCCTATTCATGTGGTACGGTGTTGTCCACTTTAATATTTATTTTTCAAAATAAGTTATTTAGGCAGTATGTAACAAAATTAAACATCTTTCGTATGATTTGCAGGCTTATAGCTGATTCACACTACCCTTTATCCAACTTAAAAGAGTAGAGTTAACAAAGCATTAGAGCTGAATGCTTTCTTCTATACAAGGAAATTCCAATGACAGGTAAATAATTTACCTTCTGGTTTATACTCCGAGCTATTTCAAGAGCTTTTGAACGAGCTTCACCAGCAGGTACACAATAATTCACAAGTCCTGCAGGTAATTCATCTTGTTAGAATTTACTTTATTTATACATTTTCTTTTGGGAAGGGATGTTTGGGGGGGGGCTTAGTGGGAGGAGTGCAGGCTTATCATGTTTACGTTGAGCTTGAAACAAGGTTAAAATGTTGATGCTTCAATTGAATATACCTATGGAGAAAGCGTCCCCGCCGCCAATCCTTCGACCAGTAAATATAAGTTCTTTTGCCGTTGATTTTCCAACCAATCTAGGAAGCCGCTGTGTTCCACCTGCCCTGAAAAAGGCTAGATTATTCATTCATTAGAAAACTGATGCAAGGTATCTTTCTAAAGTCAGAGTACTTAATGAATAAATTATAGATTTATAGTTCCAAGTACATCTAGCGATGCCGGATAAGAGCAGGTTTGCAGTTCTCCCTCAACTTAGTCCACCAATAGACGCGTAAAATAAAAGAGAGCTGACATGGATCATACAGACTGGAAAATAGGACTCTTATGGCATGTTTGCTAGGGATGACTGTATCATATTCAACAATATTAAGGAAGAAAACAAACTAAAATCTTTTCATTATAGTGTGAATTGGAGTCCTACCCAGTATTCTACCAAACATGCACTTAGTGGATAGAAAAAGATGATTCGCGTTGCAGTTATGCAGTCAATTAACACAATAAGCGTACGAGAGATACCCAGGTATTATAGCAAGTCCTGTTTCTGGCAATCCCAAAACTGCATCTTCCCCTGGGTCATTTATCATGGAACTGTCAAGTTCAAAAAATGCAGCACATAACCATCACTTTACATTCTAAAGTAGTGAAACATTAACTGACCACATATCCGAAGATCACAAGACAATGCTATTTCTAGCCCACCACCCAATGCTGCACCTTCGATGACTGCTATAGTAGGGATACTGAGTGCCTGAATATAATGAACTTTGTACTAAAGTTAAAATGTTAATGATAAGAACAATGAATGATCTGTATTCAACTTCAGCTTCACAAGAAAGGTTGTCAACTAAGGATTATAAGATGAGAATAGACCTCCAAATAGGAGAATGTGGAACGCAGAGTGTTTACGAAATCTTGTACTTCAGATGGACTCATCATTTTCCTTTCCTAAAAATCCAACATTATAGAAGGCACATATTTAAGAACCTCAATCAGCTGTATTCATGAGAGAGAAAGATAGCACAAAGTCGTGACAACAATAAGATTGGCATAACACAAGACTTTAACCATAAAAGATGGCATTCTATTATAAAATAGACAATTACGACACTTTGAGCAGAAAAGATTCATTAACAGAAGATAATTTCCGCAAGGAAACATCAAACCTTATAACAGGTTGGCGACTGTGGCTCTCAATCTTATATTCAAGGCTAAGCATGTTAAATGTAACATAAAAATGAATAAATATGATCGGCATTTGTTGTACTAGTTCAATTCTGCTGAGAGCAGGCGAAGTCAACCTGCTGGGGTTCTTGACTCCTATGTACTTCACTGGCCATAGGATTTCAAAGATCAAGAAAAGGAATGAGAATCTCTAAGGAAAAGTAAAATTAATTAGAATGCCACAATATACCTAAGAAGCAAGGATTCGGTTATATAATTCGAATACGATACGATAAGGTTACGCTAATACAATTTTAAAAAAAAAAAAATTAGGATACGTGGATACGTGTATTGAAAGTTTTAATACCATTATCTATTTCCACTAAATAAATTATAGTTGTTTTATGTATTAAAAGTTTTAGTACTATTATCAATTATCAATAATAAAATCAGTTAACTTGAAACTCTAGTTGTCAATTATTTAATACTATATATTTTTTCAATAATAAGTGTAAATTGTATAGGTATCTATTATCTTAAAACACGTTTACTTTCTTTGAAATTATTTATTAATAAATATTATCAATTTTCAATAAGTTATTGATAATAACAATAGTTATCTATCAATTTAAAAAAAATAAAAAAATTATCATCTATTGTTAATAATAATTTGTTTTAAAAGAGTTACAATCAATAGAACTCTACTTCTTTATGTGTTATAACGTGTCCGATACATACCGGAAATTTTAAAACTATAAAAATATAAAATAATTAAAAAACACGTATTTGATACATATTAGAGTGTATCTAAGCGTATCCAAAATTGAATACATATCAGATATACATAATAAGTTTACAAGTATTCGTGCTTCTCAGCAATGTACCACAATGTATACTCGAACCAAAAGACCATCTTGCAGTACCTTTAAATTACCTAAATAACAATTAATATACTATTTCACAACAGCTTGACGATTTTCATATTCCTTCTTTCTGTCTTTTACAGCTTTCGTTTTTAAAAAGTTCATATAACTTTTTATTTCATGATGTCTACTCTTTGCACAAATGACTCATTTTAAAACCAAAGATTTTTTACCTTAAGATCAGCACCAGCACAGAAAACTCTGGGAACTGAACTGCAGATCATCAAAACCTTGGCCGAACGGTCTTTATCTACAGTCTCAAATGTATATTGCAGTCCCCTGAGCATATCCTTCCCAATAGCATTTTTTGTTCCCGGCCTATCCAAATTAACCTCAAAAATTCCTGCCAAGTGTAAGTCTCCTTCAGTTTTGAGATAATCAAAGCATAGCATATTTCTTGGCTAGTAAAAAGGTAATTTTTTGATCCAGTTAATATGTTAACTGGAAAAATACAGGATGCACTATTATACACTGCTTCATCATAATACAAGCGCTTTGAATGTTTATTTAAATTATAGAGGTATAGTTCACAATTCCTCCCTCTCCTGTCCCTCCCGTCCCCCTTGATTTAGAAGCAATAGTGGCGGTGGCAGCTGCCCGGTGTAGTAATAGCAATATTAGCAAATGAAGCTACAGAATACTGCATTGTTCTTGTTCTATTTATTTATTCTAGTTTGAAATGGTAATTAACTTCCAAAAATTTTTATCTTTCACGAACTGTTTGGCCAATATTTCTACATAAAAGTTCCCAAAATGATTAAATCTAGCAAGAATCAATCAGAATCTAAAAATCAAACCAGAGGCACCAAAGCTTATAGAAATTGTTAAAAACTAAATAAGAAATAACAAATTAATTCAGAACCCAAATTAAATTCCAAACTTAAAAGATGAAACATTTACCTGTATCAGAATCAGTGAGTTTCTGCAATTTAACAGACTCAGTAGCGGATTGCAAGAGGAGAGTTCGAACGCTCTGGAATTGGAATGCATTGGATTGGAAGAAATTGAGGCGCTTAAAAAGCAACCGAGTTGAGTCAGAAAGCTTTGTGGCGTTCCGGCTGTGCTGACTCAGTGATCTGATTATCGGAGCTAACACTACCATTTTCCCTCTATTTCTGTACGATTAATGGCGAGAGCAATAAGTCATATATGAAAGCAGGAAAAAAGAATTCACTTATTCAACATTTTCACACATTTGCATAAGACACTATCACTATGCAGCATCAAGTTCTTTTAAAAATGACCTATTCAAATCCCCATAATTTCACTTTGACTTTTACACTTTGACAATAATCTCAAAATGACTCATTTGTTGTAAAAAGACAAAAATACCCCTAAATGACTAAAACAATTACAAAATATGTTTAGTATTTGGGGAAAACAATTGTGGTAGTGATCTGGCATTGTTGGCCGTGGTGGTCGCAAACAATTGTGGTACAGGCGGTGGCATCGTGGTGTTGGGGGCGACGACGACGGTTGACTGGGACCAATAGTGTTTGTGACCAATAAATGATTGATTGTAACGAAAAATGGGTAATTTGTGACCAATATATAATGTGACCTAAAAAATGCGATTGTGATTCACAATACACTAAGTTGTGATTAAAAATAACTTGTGATCAATTAATTTGACAATTTATGATACTTAAATAAGCTGTAACTTATAAAATTTATAATTTCTGACCAATAAATGAATTGTAACTTATAAACACTTTGAATTTGTGATCGATGCATAAATTGTGGCCTATAAAAATTTTTGATTTGTGATAGATAAATAAATTGTGACTTATAAATTTTTTGGTCTGTGACCGATAAATAATTTGCGACCTATAAATTTTTTGAATTGTGATCGAGAAAAAAATTTATAATCAATTAATTCGAGAATTTGTGACCAAATTATATGGAATTGTAACCTTAATATATTTAATTAATAAAAATATTTTTTAATTAATTATTTCATAAATAGATTTTAATATATATCTTATTTTTGAAATTTTAAACCTTTTATCTTGGTTTTGAAATGAGTGATAGTTAAACTCTTACTTATAAATTTTTCCCTTAATTAAATATTAGACTGGATTAAATTTAAGAAATGGGCCAAGCCCATTTGGATTTATATTAAGGTAAGAGTTTACAAATCAGGAATTAAGTTTAAAAATTATAAAACTCAGGTATTTAATTAATTAATTAAAAATAATTATTATTTAAATATAATAAATTCACAATTATACAATTAATGGTCACATGTACATAATTATAGATCTCAATTTATTTATTGGTCACATATTATTAAATTAATTGGTAACAAATTATTTTGAGATTACAAATAAAAAATTTTATACGTCACAATTATTTCATTAGTCACAGATCAAAAAAATTATAGGTCACAATTTATATATTGGTCACAGTTTAATTGTTAGTCACAATAAACCAAATAGTTGGCCACATACACCAAACACCCTACCTCCGATCCCGATCCATCACCAATATTTCGTCACAAATTAATCAAATAATTGGTCACAAATGTTATCCCACCACCTTCCCCACCACCAACACAATACCACTACCGCCACCACCAACGCACCACAACAACCACTACCACCACAGAACGCACCACTATCGCCAACAATAAAAATGTACCACCACCGTCGCGGAAACAACGCCATTACTATCACACACATCACCGCCGCCACCCCCCACAAACGCCTGCTCTAACACCTCACACCACCTCCACCTCCACCTCCACCTCCACCTGCAACTTCAATCAACCACCAATAGCCAACACTCCACAAACCGCCATCACCTCACAGCGTTGTCGCCGCCTCCACCATTTTCAGCCACCACCACAACTACCATTTCCAACAACAAATAAGATCCAAACCAGATCCCGCCACCATCATTGCGGCCACCAGCTCCGCCACGACCACCATCACCGCGACCACACCTCACAGCAACCACCAGATCCGTCACCCAACACAGCCAACACTCCACAACCACCGTACCACCATCAACGCGACCACACCTCACCGCGGCCACTAGATCCGTCTCCCAACACAGCCAACACACCACTTCCACTATAACCTCACAGCCAACACTCCACAACCACCACCATTTTGTTGACCTATGGTTGACGTCTCATTTTGATTATCACAAACAAATCATGTTTATTACTAACAAATTGATTTTAAGTGGCCATAGTGATTATTGCACATAAGTATATTGGATGGCACAAAGTTCGAGATCAAGAAACTTGTAAAATAGCTCAAATAGAAACAAGATCAAACAATCGAGGCTTCAAAAAATGATGTTGGAAATCCCGTAAAAGTTGCCTCTACGAAAATCGAGACACAAGTCAAGTAACAATCGAGCAATGCACGTCAAGTTATTCAAACTAAGTACTTAGATGTTTCATGATCATATGTAAAACTTTTTTAGACGTGGCAATGCATCGTGACAAGTTCAAGATTTTGATTTTACAAAATTCACGACAAAAATATTTTTACTTGAAAAATGTGTTTTTCAAATAGTAAAAATCGTAACACATATTTTAAATATGACAAATACCTTGAAAAACATTTTAAAACGTTTCTCCAATACNAGTGGCCATAGTGACTATTACACATAAGTATATTCGATGGCACAAAGTTCGAAATCAAGAAACTTGCAAAATAGCTCAAATAAAAACAAGATCAATTAATCGAGGCTTTGAAGAATGATGTTGCAAATCACGCAAAAGTTGCCTCTACAAAAATCGAGACACAAGTCAAGTACCAATCGAGCAAATGCACGGCAAGTTATTCAAACTAAGTACTTAGATATTTCATGATCATATGTAAAGGTAAAACTTTTTTATACGTGGTAATGCATCGTGAAAAGCTCAAGATTTTGATTTTACAAAATTCACGACAAAAATATTTTTTCTTGAAAAATGTGTTTTTCAAATAGTAAAAATCGTAACACATATTTTAAATATGACAAATACCTTGAAAAACATTTTAAAACGTTTCTCCAATACTAACATTTGTTAAATATTAAAAAGAGGACGTTCCGGGCCAAAATTGGTTGTACAGGACGTCCGGTAAAACTGATTTTTGGCCAATGGTCATATTTTAAACTGTCAAATTTCCTGAAAAAAAAAATAACGGCTATCAGACCGTCCAATATTTTACCGGACGTCCAGTAGAGTGCGTCCGTTAAGACAGAACTTTAACCGTTTGAGTCCTATAAATACCTCACTATTCCTTCACTTGCATTAATAATTCTTGAGCATTAAAGTGAGACTTTTATTGATTACAACTACCTTATCTTCCATCTTCAAAAATATCAAAATCATCAAAACCCTTGAAAAACTTTTGAGTGATTTAACTTTGTAAAAATCTTTTGTTCTTCAAGAAGTTTTTCATTTCAACTCTTTGGGTCAAACTCATTACTATCTATTGAAGTGTTTTGCCTCTTCTCTTCTTGTTATCAATCTTGATTTTATCATTCTATAAGAAGAGAAGATTTCACTTGTAAAGTCATTTTAAATTGTAGGTCGCGTTGAGATCCCGAAAAGCTCAACATTGTAAAGGATCGGTGCTCCTTGGTTGTAAGTCACTGGAAGCATTGTAAAGGGTTGGATTGCACCATAAGTCAATCAACATAGTGAAAAAGGCATTGCTCGTGCCGGAGAGCTTGGTAACGGGGGACGAAGATCATTGCATTTGATCGAACCTCCATAACATATCGTTTGTTCTCTCTATCTCTTTTAACGCATTTACTTCACGTTCATCTACATTGCTTCATTTGCTTGTTTTCTTGTACTTAGACTATTCTCTATCATTTGCGTAGTCATTATATCAAAATCCTGAGTAATTAACGAAAAAGTTTTAATAACCAATTCACCCTCCTCTTGATTAGCCAATCTTGGGCTTTCACATTTTCAGTCACCACCACAACTACCATTTCTAACAACAAATCAGTTCCTCCACCATCACCGCAATCAACGTGACAACCAGATTCGCCATCACCATGACCACCATTCTTGTGGATTGCTGCATCGACGACTATAGTATAGAGACGACGGGTTGCTGCAGTGGCGGCAGAGGCGACGGCGGCAACGGGTTGCCGGAGTTTGAATAGGTCGCTAGTTGCCGGAGAGAGATAAATGAAGAGGGAGAAGAGGAAAAGAAATGAAGAGAGAGAAGAGAGAGAAATGAAATAAAATTAGGGTTTGGGTGGGTATAATATTTAATTATTAATTCAATACCTGGACTTTGATTACAAAATCTTCACACCTGATTTTAAACTTTGAAGTTTAAACGTCTGGATTTATGTAATTTCCACTTATATTAATAAGCTATTAAGGTTAAAAAAAATAAAATAGAACAGAAGACAATTCATTATCTTGTTAGCACAAGAAAGAGAAACCATAATTCTCTCATTCTTGTTCCCTGTGTGGATTTTCATTGGAGGCCGGACAATTGGACAGTTGTGGATTACAAATCATGATTGTTTGTGTTCCAAAATCAGTAAAGGAGTTTGCAGAATCTACGAAATACATAATTTTCTATCATAGTTTCTATCTAAATACAAAGCAAATCCTTGATAGGAATTGGAATTATTTTATTTTTCAGTGCATATTAAGTAAATTCTCAACAAAGTTACGTGATGGAATGGAACTAGATGAAAATTTTGGGAAGAAAGTTGTTGATGAGGATGGTGTTGTGGAACAACAATCAAATGGTAGGGAAAATAGACTTGAATCACAACCGTATGTAAAGGAAATAGAGCCTCATAGCCTAGTGTTGAGACTGAATCAGAACTGCTTGCAGAGGAAACCGAAGTGATGGTGGAGGCTAAAATACTTGCTGATGCAGTAGAAGTTCAGGTGGATGATAGTGTTCCTGCTGATGAAACAGAATTGCAGGTGGATGCTAGTGTTCCTCACAGCTGATTAAATAGAAGTGCAGGTGGATACTAGTGCCCCTGTTGATGAAAAATAAGTGCAAGTGGATGATGGTACCCTTGCTCAAGAAATAGAATATCAGGTGGATGATGGTGTCCCTGCTGATGAAACAAAACATCAATTTGATAATGGTGCCCATGCCGATGAATCAGAAA